GGGTGGATTTCCAGTAGTATCTCTGCCACTTTCTTTATTTCAAAGACCTTGGCTTGTTAGATACTGCAGTGATCTGCAGTGTACAGCTGATTCTACTCGTTCATCGATTTCAGAATCATCTATGTATATGTGTGTTGTGTCTCGTCCACGCCCTTACATCAACAACCTCAATTGTAGCTTCTAGAGACCTTTCGAAAGTCAGGCTCTATTTGATCTGGCAAGGATGGTGCTACTAACACTGCTGTCCGCCGGTGGCAAGCGTTAAATTGCGTGGAGCCGATTTCGGTGTTGTCCCAAGGTACCTATTATACTGACCACTGAGCGCCTTTAAACACTCTGCAGCCTTTTAAGGTCGTCTTCTGTTTCATTTACTTCACATTATACTAATATCCTTAACGATATCCAATGTGAATAAGCGGGTAAAAGTCCTCAAGTGCAGCATTTTCCTACATGTACACAGTGCTTCCAAGGCCTTCCCTCCCCCGATGAGTCCATTGCAAAACCGCATTTGTGGTTCCTTATATTCTTCCTTTCACCGAGAAGTGAAACCAATTCGTCGTTATGATGAAGGCCCAAAAAAACATTGAAGCTAGCTTGCAGTGACAGAACGTATGTCGATATAACCCCGCGCATGGTCATACGTACACTCTCGATTTCTTCTGCTTAGTCGCGAAATTGGGCTAAGTCTTTTCTTACCTAATTTAGGCCATTGGCATCAAATTCTACAAAAATAATTTATAAACTAAAACTACTTGGAAACTCCAATACCACTTTTCGGTTAAACCCTTTAATGTTCATACTGAACCAGATAAACTTACTCCATAAACAAATAAAAGATCACACCACAAATTTGTAACCACAACGGTATTTAAAATTCCGGGAAGTGCAAATAAAAATTTGCCACCATAAATCAGCCAGTATGTAAGCCAGTTAAAATAAACTCCATTCGCCCCATTTCGAAACTCACCATTTGCACTCAGTCAGCGCCGTCATTTAGCGACGACGCAGCGTACCATTGTAACACCTTTCCCCGCTTTGGCACTCCATTTTCAGTGCTCATTTCAAGGTGTCAAATGTGCTGTTTGTGAGCTGCCGTTGCGCCGCTGAAGTCAGGCATGGCTTTTTATTTAATTGACCAACGAGCTCATCTTTTTAAAACCACTTAAAACGCTAATAACGCGCCCATTTACCACAAAAACAAGCGCGCGCGCACGCACACACACACACACACACACACACGCATTAAACCCAATATACAAGCAAACGCTTTTGCACATCGCCAACGGCATTTGTCGCTTAATCAGCGCAAATTTACATACACGCCAGTCGTGGCGAGGCATTTACATATGTACATATGTATGTACATACATACGAGTGCACACGTAACATACATAGAGGCTGTTCGCCACGCGCATGCGCACGCTCACGCAATAAAATGTGGCAGTCGAGTGACCGCAAACAAACAAGCCCCACAAATAAATGAATTAACACAACTCACATAAGCAGCCATATACGCAAGTACATACACACACACACACAGAGGGAAGACTCGAGTCGTGCAGACGTTCGCCATTAGGCGTTGTCCGTTTGCCCGCTTACCCCCGTCGCCAAAAGCCACCAGCCACCAGTCTCTTGCCACCCTGCTGCTGTTGTAAAGGCGGTGTTTGTGTGCATGTGTGTTAGTATGTAAGTGTAGAAAGCAGGTTTGCGACGGTTTGCAATTGGCAGTTGTCGCCGTCGGCTATTGGCGGCGCGTAATTACAACGAGAATTAATGACAAAACAAAAAACAAAATTGAATTAACAAAACGAGATGAACTAAGTGGAGAAAATAGATATAAATATGTTTGTATGTGTACTTTTGACTTACAGTGTAAGTGGGATAATGGAGGACTGATTGCTGTGGTTACTCATTGGCAATTTGATTTGGGATAAAAAATATTTTACATTGTGGAGTTCGAATTCGATTTTTTTTTTCTTTTTGGAATTTGAAAGAAGATATCGAGCCCTAACCGCCAAAAAGGGGTAAGCGGCATTTTTTTCAAAATTTATTTTTATAAAAAATTTCGATTACTTCTTTTTGGCGGTTTGGAGTCCATATAAAATGTGTTTTTTTTGGTGGATTTCCTTGGTGAACCTTTTCTTTTCGTTGCAAGCCCGCGGGGGCGGAAATGGTGAATGTTATTCAATTTCAACCCTCTGCTACTGACGGGACCGAAGTTTCCTTATTGCACTGACGTGCAGTCGCTCAGACACCAATTTTCCAGATCAAAATATATATATATCTATTAGATATTTATTAATAATTTTTTTTTTTGCATTTAAACCTTAAAATCTATCAATATTTTAAATACTCATTAATTATATGTCGGAAAATAGGCGTTTTTAGTAATCAATGCTATTGAAACTCAGGAAAAATGTCAAACCTTCGGTGTCTGTCAGACTAGCACATCAGTCACAGAGGGTTTCTTCCAAGTTGACAATTAAAGGGATGGGCAAACTTTTTCTAAGTTGACAATGAAAGGGATGGGCAAACTTTCTTCGAAGTTGACAATAGAAGGCATGGGCAAACTTTCTTCTCTTTTAGAAGAGACAATTTGTAGCACATTCTTCCTTACCCACTGTCACAAACGTAGAATTGCTTGTCAGTCCTAACCAATCATTTTAAGGAGTTTAAAGGTAACCGAAGAAAACCTTTTTTTTTGTCCATCACAACCCGACTAAAAGATATTCATGCAGGACTGTCCTGATCTGGAATACATACTAATGTTAGGTAGTTCTTCTTTATGTTATTTCGTAATGAGTAAATTCTATAAGAGAAAGGATATATCGCACGTTTAATAATGTAAAGAATTTTTTCAAAATTTCAATTTTGTGGTGAAACGCAATCAAAATTTGATCAATTCATACAGTTGGTATATAAAAGACAGATAAAAGGATATATATCTTCGCCATTTTTGGGATTATACATTAAACACATTTTCTTTTACAAGCTCATAAACTATATGATGAGATCTCAAAAAACTTGAATTTTTGAATTACGTTTGTATATTATTAAACGTGCCTTTTTTATTCAAAAGTCTTTTTTACGACGAAGTCGGGACGTATACGTGTAATTTGACAAGAGTCTTCCTGTACTCTGGCCCAAAAACAATTTTTCGTACTAATGTAGGAGCACTTTCATACATATAGGGGAGCCATAAACATAGCCAGCATCCTTTTTTCTATGATCTATGGTTATGTTTTATTCTGTCAAACTGGTACTCGCGCTTTTTTGCAGTCATAATTCTTGTCAACAACTTTTTTTTTTGTTTTTTTAATTATTTGCTAATTTTTTTTTTGAAACGATTCTAACTTGAATTTTATGAAATTATAAAAAATAATACTAATTCCCTGAAAGATTCATGGATATGAAAAATATAATCTGTAGATACAGTGGCGAAAATATAAATAGGGAAGAAACACTTCAACATTCCTTGCCTACTCCCCATTCGATTATTTTTTAATGTTTATTATTTTTTTTATGAAGCTCGTTATATAACAAATACCAAATTTTTATCAAAATTTTGTGCTTTTTAATTAGATTTCTTAGAAACATTCAATATGCATTTTGTTAGCCCATTACATTTTTTTTTCGGAAGGTGATGCTCATTTTCCCCATGCAAAAAAATTGTCAACCTACTTTGTATGGAAGAAAATGCGCGAAAACTGCATGCTCAAAGTTCTAAAAATCTGATTAAAAATTTTAAAATCTTGATAAATATAAAAAAAAAGTAGCCAAAACTTGCTAAAATGCCTTTTCCCTATTTACATTCTCGCCACCGTACATATTGTGTGTATACACTTTTGCGATCATTTTTCAAGTTTTTTTCTCTTTGTTTTGTCTTAAATAATAAATATATTAAACGGTGTTATGTCTTTTTATTTTATAAAAAAAAAATGTATGTTCAGAGTCGATGCTTCAGAAATGTCCCGATTTTTGTCCACAGTAATCTGGTCACCGTAATCATAGCCTACTAAACAACCTGTTTCCGTTACTTCGAAAATTAAATATCAAAATCTACTTCTTTTGAGAATTCTATGCAAAAGACTTACTCAGCTGCCGCTTAGCATCTTATCAAGCTTTGAGTCAATAACTTTTCGATCATTTTTTAAAGAAATTTTAAAATGTAAATATTTCATAGTAGTAATCTGTAAGCACTCTCAGCCGCTAATTGCTTATAAATTAAATTTTCAGCTGAAAATCTCAAACTTCCCCCACATTCCGCAACGCTTCCTCCAGCTCTGCCGGAGCGTAATCCTTCCACCGCCAGTGCATTCTAAAACCGAAGAGGGTGAGTTAGCAGAAGTCCACTTGCAATCGATGACTGAAATTATTTCGTTCAAAACTAATTAATTGGGCGTGTATTTTGGAGGCTACGCCACGCCCACATATTTGCTTTACTTAGCTACCGCCTGCTGGTACATACATAAGTTCATATCGGCATGTCGCCACTGTGCGCATGCGCCACAACCACAGCTCCGTACGCTCAGCACAGGAGCGCTCTAATAATAAATGTTGGAAAAGATGTTGAATTAATTAAAACGATTCTGGGCAAATTGCAACACGACACTCAAGCGAAAATCGAAAATACCGCGAGGTGTGTGTGTGCGTTGATTTCAATCCTCCGCCGCCGCCTATCTGCCTGCTTTGCTGGTATCTCGTTACAAAACGTTGGCACTGCCATATCTCAATGCCGCCGGCACAACGCCCACTCGCTGCGGCGACTGCTGTGCTGCGGCAATGCTGCATAGCTGCAGGAAGTGGGCGTCGCATTTCCCCATTGCAGTTTAATTTTTTAAATCAACTTTGGATTTCATTAATTAAAATTGTGCATCTTTTATTTCCACTTATGCATTTTTATTTGTGTGCTTTTTTTCGCTTGTTGTTGTTGCTGCTGCTATACTCTTTGTACACACTCTCATTAATTTTCTTTCGTTTTCGTGTTGCTGCCGTTACAGGTTTGGTTCCAGAATCGTCGCGCCAAGTGGCGTAAACAGGAGAAGGTGGGTCCGCAATCACATCCATACAACCCATATCTGCCCAGTGGGCCGGGCGCCATGCAAGCCGTTGTCGGTCCGACATTGCCGCCAAATCCATTCACACACCTGGGCTTCAATTTGCGCAAACCATTCGATGGTCCGGCCAATTTTGCCGCCTTTCGCTATCCGCACCTGTCGGCGGCACCAATGTTGCCATCTGGATTTTACAATCAATTTCAAAGGTAAGCGAAATATGGAGTATTTTCATTGTCTAACTTAAACTTAATCGTTCTTCTTCTTTTGTTTGCAGAGCACCACCCCACCTCCTACCCAGCATGGCGAGCATGTACTCGCCCACCACCTCCTTCCAAACGCTGCTGGCCAACATGACCGCTGTGCCACGCCATCCGCCGGTATCGGCACAACTTAGCGTCGCCGCCGCCAAGCCACCTATGCTCATTTCATCACCAGAGCTGCATTCACCCAATCACCTCATGTCTTCGCCACCAATTTCGCCGACTTCCATGACAATGCAGTCGATGGCACCGCCGCCGCAACTACAACCGCCGCCACCCCCAGAGGCACACTCACATGGGCCACCACCACCACCACAACAGCAGCCACAATCGGCGCCCGTGATCACAATGCCGATCAGCATGCATCAGGCTGGGCAACAGCCGCCGCCGCCGCCATCAGCACCCACAAGTCACTCGCACTCGCACTCGCCGCTCCAGCTGGCGCATTCGCCGCAACATCAGCAGGCGTCGTCGTCATCGGTGTCGGGGCCACGTACGGCCACACCGCCGGAAGATCGTCGCACTTCGTCGATTGCGGCATTGCGGTTGAAGGCGCGCGAGCATGAGCTCAAGTTGGAGCTGCTGCGTCAGAATGGACATGGCGATGTGCTGAGCTAGTTGATGCTGCAGTTGCTGTTTGCGGAGAGCTTTCGTTGGGAATGCGCGTGGAAAGAAAAAGCAGAGAAAGTTAACATATCATGAAAGGCAGCAAAAGAAAAGAACTGAGGAGATGTATTTGTTACTTAAAACCAGTGCAAATTCTAAGCGATTTCCAGTGTAACGGAATGAAAATGTATTAATAAAAAAAAATTTAGTTTTTAGTATTTTACGAGTTTTAGGGTTGCAAGGATTCAGTTGACCACTTTGATGTATGTAGAATAAAAAAAAAATAAATTATTTCCGTTAAATGTTATAGAATACATAAAACCAGTGCGCTCAATGATTCCATTCTAAGTTGTATGTACTAAGTATATAAAAAATATCTGAATATTCCATTAGGATTCTACTAAATTTATTTAGCCTTTTAAAATTGAATTTTATTGAAAAATGTAACAAGTAATTTTAGCATAATAAAGTTTTTGTGATATTCACAAAATATACATATTTAAATATTGAAATAAAACAAGAAAAAGCAAATAATTTTCACTTTATTCTTAGGAACTAATGATCTCCCTGCACCTCGAGGCATTGTATTACCGCTGTTTTTTCGCAGGAGTGGTCTTTGGTGAATCAGTATTTTATCTTCATAAAAAGGGTAAGTTATGTTACGCCATGTTATGCTATGTTATGTTAGCTATGTTACGTTACGTAATGTTATGTTTTATTATTGATGTGTATACATCTATGGTTTCGGTAGGGGTGAATTTTGCGAAGCTGTAACACATAGCCCAGCAGAAAATTTCGAAAGGCTGCGCATGTGTAATGCAGCAGAAATTTTTTGATTTCAATAGAAGCACCCTGTATTGACTTGCTATTGCAAATGGTTGCATACATTTAGGCATATGAAGAGTAAATGATATGAACTAATTTGTTGCAAATGGTTTTGATATGCGTAGCATGATTTTAGGCATAGGCTTAGTAGTCTATTGATAAAAAAGCAATGCGAAAATTTCAGAAATACTGAAATCATTTTAACTGGGTCTGGTCAGACCGTAAGCCGAAGACTTCTACCAGAGTATCCCGGGGTTGTCAAGCCCGTAATTCCACTTGTACAGCCAACTGATGTCCTACACCATTTAGCCATCTCTGCACCCTCGCTGCTACATCCTTGCATTTGGCTTCAGCCGTTTATCCACTACTACCATCGCAGTAACATCCGATGATGGTTGCCTTATGGGGGCATCTCAGAGTTTAAAGAGCCTATCTTACAAGGCGTTCTGAAGCGTAGGCTCAAAAAATGGTCCTTTTGGGATGCCTCCTGCAATTAGTTAAATAATTAAAATATGTATGCACTGCAACCTTGTTGGTCTATTGTACGCCTCCTGTTGCCTCCTATGGTTGTTTTAGAGCTTCCGCTGTGTCGCACTGCAGGATCCTATCGCTAAAGATACCGTCGATTGATTCATAGCAAATAGTAATTTCTAAGCGCCAACAGAATATAACTCCAGGTTGCTTAGTTTAATGCGTTTTTGTCGTCCAACGTGGTGGTAGCGCAGTACTTCATCAAATCGTGCTCTCCGCTTAGCGTCTGCTCTGCTATGCTAGTGCTAGTGACTCTTGTTGCATCAAGCGTAGATCCTTGCCTGTCGAAAGCCAAACTGTTTGTCGGAAAGGCTATTAGTGCATTTTAAAAACTCCTGAAGCTGTTACGGGTGATACAATGGTGAATCGTTGCGGCTAAGGTTTTTCTTTCTCATTTCCTCCTGTGTTCGGAACGGTACAACAAAGGCATTCTCTATGGGATTTGCACAGGTGGGATGTGGCGCTCTCGGTCCTTTGTCATTTACAGTGCTATGATATGTTATGTTTTATTATGTTAAGTGGTGCTATGTTATTTTATTTTTATGTTATGTTATGTTATGCTCTGTTAAGTTATGTTATGTTATGTTATGTGCCTGGTTCTCAAGTTATTTAGTTAAAAATTATTATTCTCTAGTGGATTTTGTTTTTGTAGACTGAGTTAAAATATCGTCATATAACCAGATAACCTGATAACCAGGTAGGTGTGAATACCACACTTATATTATGATAAGTTATATTATATTATGTGATGTTATGTTATTTTACGTTATATTATGGCACCTTTTGCTATGCTATGTTATGTTAGGGTATGATATTGTACTTAATTTTATTTTCCCTCAAACACAACCACCTTAGTTTCAATCAACCATCTCATTTAATATCCCTAACAGTTTACCTTGTTTTGCTTCCACTTTTTCCTTCTGCCCATTTAGCTAATTTTTAGCGAAATACGAAAAAATTTTGTGAAATTTTTCCCATTTACGAGCGATGGGCGTATTTGTAATTAATACCAACTCAAGTCACATTTTAATTAACTGGACGTAATCAATCTACAGAACGATGAATGCCACCATCAAGCAGTCATTCACAGCAGCAACGAAACAAACGGATGCGGGTATCATCGAAAGCGGATAGACAGACTGACTGACGGGCGAGTGCTTATACATAAATGCATACACTATAACTTGCTTGCGTACATTGTTGTTCTTTAGCGGTCAATGGCAACAATTTTATGCTTACTTACTAATTAGTCAGCAACAAATCAGCGCGGCAACAAGATACAGACAACCGTGTAAAAAACAAAAAACATTTAAGTTATAAAAAATATTAAATTAACAGAGGCTGCAGCAGCAACAGCAACTACCACAAAAACGCTGTTAATAATCATTAATACCCAAGCCATTGAGTACCCATTTCAGCCGCGCTTGGGGTAAGTAAACCTCAGCCCAACTTGACTCATTCATCAAAAAAACAAACGGGCGGACTATCTACCACGCCAACCACTTCGAGAGTGGCAATGCAGGCCAACGCACAAACCAATCAGTCAAGCAGGCAAATGGACAGTCGCTCATCGAGCGCCAACTACTCACTGGGGAAGATAGTCAGTCAGTTAGGCAGTCAGTCAGTTAGTCAGTTAGTTTGTCAGTGAGCTAGTCAATGAGTACTCAACTACTACTCCACGCCGAGGTGGTAAGGGTGTTTCCTCTGCAAAGATTTCTTCCTACTGTAGTGAAGGTTGTTGTTTAGAGTGATCGCTGCTCTCAACTGGCTGGCGTGGTTTGGAACCCAGAAAAGCAATTAATAAAAATGTAAATTCAATTAAATTTATATGACAGCCAGCTGTCAGGAGGCTTCAAATTAAAAATTACTTATTTTATATTAAATAAAAAAGTAGCACAACCAACGTTGCAGCGCGCAGACAATCAATGAGGCAGCGAGGAAGTCAGGTTGTTGGTTTGCATGAAATTAAATCAGTTACTGTTAAAAGCGCTTTTCTCCTTCCATATTTTTTGCTCCCGTTGTTGTTTAATTGGCCTCGCTTTTTTTTTTTTTTTTTAAACATACCAACAGCAAACGGGTGCATACATACATACATATATGGGTAGCGAAAATTATGTTCATCAAAGTATGAAGAATGGAATATTTAACAGCAAATAAAAGACTACAACTAATAATTTTTATGACAACTAAGAGCAGTTTCACTTCATTTGGATTCAACTTTTTGCTAATTAAATATTTAAAGACACTTTATTACAAAATAAAGGTGCTGCCAAGTGTAAAACTTTTTTTTTATTTTTTAAATCCCTCTGCCCTTAAGATCTCGCACATTGGAATTTCTTGGATTATTTCCATTTATGAGTATGTCTTTTGTGGCGCATATCTCGCCCGCTGCATACAACAAAGTATTGAAATTTTTGCAGAGCTCTGCTAATAAATTCATGTTAACGACTGACTACCGACTGCTGACCGCTTATTTTAATTTCGGGACCACAAACTGTGAAATTTAATTTGCTAAACAGCATCCGTCAGTCGGGTAAGGCACGCATATGACCTTAGCTATGTATAGTGATACATATTTATACATATGTACATATGTATGTATGAACGTATGTATATGAATAAAAGAATCGTAGGTGTATTTTACAAATTTATTGATGCATTCTCGGATTTACGACAGACACACATCATGGAGAGAAATATGGAGAGGCAGAGGGAAACTGCGATAAAAGGAAACGAACCTAGGTGAGAAATTCTTTGACGGTGCAACAAAACGAGCTAAGTTTCCTTTCGAAAAAAAACTGTTTTCATTGAGAGGAGTTAAATAAAAAATAGATCGACGAGAATAACGAATTCGTTTGGAACTACGAGAACGCTGAACTCTTCTCAATTAGTAAGTATATAGCCTAAATCTCCACTGAACCAAAAATCCAACTCTGGATCAAAGAAAAACTTTCCTTACTTTAAGGTCGAAATTCTTCCGAATGAGTAAAAAATTCTCCCAAATGAGTAATTTTTCTTTGGAATGTGTAAAATCGTACACGATGCGACCTCACGCACCATCGATGGAGATTTTCCAAATCATATTGCAGCTTTAGAGCATCCGCTGTGTCCTTAGCAGTTGGAAAAATTTTAAAATCATCAGCATAGAGCAAAAAATTTTAAGAAGAAAAACATTTGCAAATGTCATTGATAAAAAGGGCAAGGAGTAGGGACCGTAAGATGCTTTCTTGAGAAAGTGGTTCGACAAACGACAGTCGATTGTTATCACACGGCTTCCATCCGCCAAATATGACCTAAGCTACTGCAGAAAGGTGGAGTGAAAGCCTAAGCAAGCTAACTTGCTTATTAGAGTCGTTTGCGACACTTTATCAAATGCCTTAAAGATGTTTGTATAAATGCAATCAGCTCGGAGATCTTTCGAAAACGATGACATAAAAAATTCACTAAAGACAAAACCGCAATATAAATTCATGTTGCTGCTAGTTCGTATATATATCAAGCCAATCTGGGGCTTTACTCCTCCTCTCCTTCCAAACGTGACACCTCTACTCGGGCCTGGATTGCCCGAGCTCTTTATCAAAAAATACAACAAAATAGAACAAAATTTGTGCTCCTAAAGGCACCTAACAGACTCAGAATCGATTGCAATACGATTTCTAGAGTAGAACCAACAGCATTTTATGTTCCTTATTAATAGTTTTTACTCCAATTCCCCTAGATCGAATTGCTAACAAGCTGAAGGAAGGAAGGAAGGAAGGAATTCAACTTTATAAAGACCCAACACTGGATCGGCTGTCAAATAATATACTTTCAGTCACATATTTTTCAGTTAACTCATTTGGCCTACTGCACTTCCCAACCATTTGTGTACAAATGAACGCTTGTATTTACTCAGTGAGCTCCACTGCCGCTGCTGGAGGACGGCTCCTCCAACTACCGCCATCACCAATGCTTGCCCTCATTTAACGATGATTTACGCACAAATAAATTAAAATATCATAAAAAGGAAATTAAATTCTTTTGATTCTCTCCACCTTCTCCACCTTCTCCAAAGAGATGCACACATCGGCTTCACACGCAT